GAATACAAAATTCCTCTCTACAAGACATTCAGATAACACACCCTCCAATTGTAGCTGAGACACTTTACAAGTAATACCAACAGCTGGCCTGTAATTCAAACACAATTGTTACTCATCATCATGAAATGACATTCAGATGCTTAAACACAGACCGATCAAGGTTGCACAGCAGTTCAAGGACCCCAACAACCTGAGGGAGGCTTCTTCATTTCTGAGTCCCCTGGCAGACCACACTGCTCTAATCCTTCTCTCTTAAGACTGCCGTGAGATTTCAAGGACAACGGTCTATGCAAAGTTCCTAGCACAGATGGGCCAATGTGGGCTCAGAGGGGTTAAGTAAGTTGCCAAGAGCAGACAGCTGGTACGGGGCAGAGTTGCGATTCACACTTAGGTGTTATTTCCTGTCAAAAACCTTTGCAGTTCTGCGCATACTAAACACATCCCACATGGCGGGCTCAGCCCTTCACACAATCTCCCCATGCCATTCTCACAAGAACTTTAACACAGCACAAAGTTTAACACAGCACAGTTCACAGTAAAGGGAATCAAAAAGTTCTGAGATGTATGTTCTTATGCCCAGTGTCGGAATGAAAACGACAGTGAGATCACCTCTCAGATGGCTGGTAAAGTCGGTGAGGCAGAGGAAAAGAAGGCCTGCAATGCTGGCACAGGGGTCGACTGGTATTTTCCACGAAGGGCACTTTGGCCGTATGTAGCAAATTACAAATGCTAGGGCGCCTGGGGGCTCAATCCGGTAAGCGACTTCAGCTAAGGTCATGATCTCGCGATTCATGGGTTCGAGCCCCGCGTGGGGCTCTGTGCTGACAGCTGAGAGCCTGGAGCCTGCTTCGGATTCTGTCTCCCTCTCTCTCTGCCCTTCCCCCACTCTCCCTCAAAAAGAAACATTAAAAAAAAATCAAAATGATAAATGCCACACTCCTTTAGCCAAGCAATCTCACTTCTGTTAGTAACCCTACAAGCATCCTCAACCAGGTACAAAAGGACCTAAGAGCAGTAATATCCACTGCAGCACGTTTGTAATGTCCACCAACAAGGACCTGGTTAAATAATGAATAGGTCGTGTCTACCATGGAGTACTATGCCATCATAAAAATGGAAGGAAGATCTTTATGAAGAGATTAAAAAAAATTGGGGCTGAAGAAACAAACAAGAGGTCAAACACCTAAGACAGGGTATCTCTGGAAAAACACACAAGAGAGTTATACAATCTAAGGAGTTGCAGGGGCACAGGAACTGAGGGGACAGACAACAGAGCTGAAGGACATCCCTAAGGCTTGATTCCTAAAAGGTCTCACCTGCAGCCACTGCATGGGGGGGGGGGGTCTCTATGGTCTAAAACAGACAATAAGGGGAACTAAGTTTGAAAGGCTGCCATGCCTACCTGCGAGTGAACTTTTCAATCAGTGAGGATTTGGGGCCCTAAAAGGAGAGATCCAAGGCTTCGATGAACTTAAAGACAGGCTAAGGGACTTGTCTGCCCTGCTTGACTTTGACAGCATGTGTGACAGAATTTGGTGGGAGGACTGCTTTCGGTGAAGCCTGGTGGCAGAGCTGTGGAGACAGGGAGACATCATCTTCATCCATCTCACATCTCTCATCAACCAAAAAGAAGCCGGAGTTATCCCTGACCACAATGGCAACGTCCTTCCACTGAGGCAGAGCCAACCACCATCTTGCCATCAGATTTATGCAGAGAAGAGTCAGATGCCAGTCATTTATCCTCCAAATACCAGGGAACGCATGCCTGGCTCTTCAAAGGCCTTCTCCCATGTGCTGTCCCCTAGTCTCCTGGCAAGCACCCAGCCAGGGGGAGAGGTTCAATGTCTCCTCCTGGCAAACACTCCACTTGGCTGAACACCTGCCTGCAGCATCCCCACTTGGCCTGACATAGAGGGAGATCATTCCTGCCTCTTCTCTACGCATAAAAATTCCAATTCTGCTGAGCTAATAAGTGAGGTACACGCGTGCTTTTACAGCCTCGTGCCTTTGCTCCTGATGTTACAACTCCTGTCTCCTTGGTTATTTCTAACTACCACTCCTTCGAGAATTAAGTCAACATTTCATGTTTTTTAATGCAACAAATGCTAATTGGGTACCACCCAAGCACTGCTTCCCCTACCATCTCAGCCGCATCTAGTACCTACATATCGTTACAGCACTGTGAAATGCCTACTCCCGCCTGTTTTCCTGTAAGAACACGAATCCTTGAGGATCCGTGCAGAAACGTTTCACGTGGTGCCCAACACACAGGAGGCACTCTTAAAATGACTGTGAAGAAGAATCTGTGGATAAAGCCTATTTGCTGAGCTTAACTTATACCTACTTCTTTTGCAACAAAGTGCCTTTCTCAGCTTTCGTCCTCTTTAGAAGTCCTTCTAACCTACATAGAAGATCATGAGGCTGCTCTCCACAGAACTTTCAGGGCAATGGACGCTGGGAAATTGGCCTGGCTGGGAGGGCAGCTGTGGACTCGCTCCCCATTTCCATCTTACTACAATAACAGCACTGCACCACAATGTTTGGTCCAGAGCAAAAGAAAAATGAATACGGAAGGGGTGAGGCATACAGTATAATCTGTTGACCCTGCTTACACTCAGTCTAAAGTTGAGAGCAACTAAAATAATTGCAGAGAACATAAGGGATAAGACACAATCTCCACAAACATCAAACGCAGCAGAAAACACGGGATGGCATTCACCAAATGTAAAGAACACACATAATCTCCTATACTGCATGGATTCAAACTCCAATCTCATTCTAATGGGCCAGGGAGATAAAACTTGTTTTAAAGAAAAAATTGTACACAGAATAAACATGTAAGTTTTCTGGTGATTCTCACTAAGGCTTCAATGTATTTTCTTTTTGAAATAATCAAACAAGCTCTTGGCAAAAAGATTCGATATTGGTGTCAGAATAATGTAAGAACTTGAAACTATAATGCAAAAATTTTGTTTAAAGCAGACATATCACTACTTATTTTTCTCATTGTGAAAAGAAGCTGTTTCATTCAGCAGTAATTCTTCTCTCGTTCTCGCAGAGAATCTGTACAAAAGCAATATTTCAACTAAAATCAGATCTGAAGGATCTTTTATGAAAACGCATAATGCAGAAGACCCCAATTAAATTTCCAACAAAGCACTGCCATTTTGAGTAAACAAAGTCATCTCAGTAGGGTCACATGATGTGCAAAAACTGCAGCCCAGAAATTAATTACTAGTGTGACATATGTCAAAACAAATTTTTACAAGAATAGAAAGCAGGTGTAACCATGTGTTTTCTCTATCTGTTTGTATGCAAAACCAGTATTGTCGGGCATGTAAATATATTCATTTATTCGGCATCTCTCAGAAAAATAAAGGAGGTTCACTGCCCCCACCCCTCCCCCCCGGCCCCGGGTTTGCTGCACCCAGGGGAAAGCTGACTAAATCACACGTGTTTAGTGAGTCAGAAAATAAGTAAGAACCAAGAGACAGCGTGGGTGATATTTTTGAAAGACAGAAGTCATCATCACACAAACAAACTGACTTTACAACATTCAGTTTTCCTTCAAAAGAAGTTTTTTCAAAGATCTACATCAACTACACCACACTACATTAAGGTTGTTATCTTGCAGAAATCAAAGCTTTATAAAACATGTGACGGTGCTTGTATTTCATAAAGAAGATTGTAATCTATAGTAAAAACAAAACGTAATCAAAAACTACCTGGAAATAAAATTAGAGATTTCAAATCATTTCAAAGTTTTGCTAATTAATGACAACATCTATTTAAATTAAAAACATTTTTGTAAATGCAAACATGTTACTGACCAAGGAACTTCAAATAGAAAAAAGGATAGAGGGCGCCTGGGTGGCGCAGTCGGTTAAGCGTCCGACTTCAGCCAGGTCACGATCTCGCGGTCCGTGAGTTCGAGCCCCGCGTCAGGCTCTGGGCTGATGGCTCGGAGCCTGGAGCCTGTTTCCGATTCTGTGTCTCCCTCTCTCTCTGCCCCTCCCCCGTTCATGCTCTGTCTCTCTCTGTCCCAAAAATAAATAAACATTGAAAAAAAAAAAAATTAAAAAAAAAAAAAAAAGAAAAAAGGATAGAGAGCACAGGTATGCATGCAGATTCTCCTGTTTTCTTTAATAGAAAATTATGTCCCAACCCCTTTCACAAGGGATATATAGACCAAATCATCACAACGTACACTTTAAATACCTTACAATTGTACCTGTCAACAATATCTCAATACAGCTGAAAAAAATCCTAGGAATTAAACTCTTAAAAAGAAAAAAAAAGGAAGAAAGAAAATTATGATTACGTCCCAAACCAAAGACTGGTCTTAAATCTTATGTAAATCACCCTTTGAACTTCAAAATATTGTCCTCTATGTGAGGCAAAAATTAGAAACATACTTCCTACAAGCAATATACTGAAATCACTTTGCTTTTTCAACCAAAAGAAGAAGAAAAATACTGAATCCCAGCATTTTCGAGTCAGAAGTCTCAGAAGGCAAAGCGGCTGCCTGGGGGCACACTGCACGGCCAGCCACCTGCAGGGCCAGCGGTCCGGGGCTCACCGTACCTTGCGATGGCCATCGGGAAGACAACAGCACACCGCATGATACAGACTTTTGAGACACTTGTCTCTTAGCACGTTGCTTTCATTACCAATTTCTCATTAATTCTGTGTCTTCTGGTAATTAACTTGGTATCTTAACCTCAGTGGTTGTTTCTTACGATTTCAGCCAAAACGGACATTTAACCAACCTAGCACCAATGAAGCCAAAGCGTGGGTGCCATTCTGACCAGTGGGATTGCTCTTTTAGCGAACCTATTTGGCCCATTCGTCAGCTATACGAACCAGGATAAGACTAAACGGTGTTTCAAATGTGATCAAAGTATCCCTTTTTAATTTTTTCAACCAGTTTCTCTGAGTGAATTTGCTGAACAAAGCACATCATTCTTTTGCACTTCAGTACTGGGAATTAAGTGAGTTACCTCTCTTAAAACTGTGCTTGTGTAGCCTCGATACAATCCTCGGATGCCCTGAAACAAACAAAAGGCCGAGAGCTCAGTAAGTTAGAACAGCACAGAGATCTGAATGATACTCTGAGTAAAGCAGAGTTGCTGAAGTCTGAGTTTTAAAGCTTGCACAATGACCACACTCTATAAGAGGTTAAAGGTTATAAACTGGCCTAAAATATATAAAGCTCGGGTCAGCTCTCTTTAAAATGGGAACATGTCTAAAATAATCAAACTGACTACTTCAGTCACTTTCAAAATTTCTGCTCCTGAAAACAATACTTGAGACGATTTCAGTATGTATTTCCAAATTCAAATGCACACAAAACGCCAACCATCCTTTCCTATAAAAACAGAATTATATTTCATAGTTTCAAACAGAAGATATCAGAAATTCATTAATAATCCTCCAAGGTGATAAATATCTCTGGACAAGCCTTGGTTTATTCAACTGTCCACATGATTCACAATAGGGTCTCTTTACTGGATTGATCTCATGATCCTCTGATCAAATACTCAGTTATTTCCTCACCTAAGTGACAAAAAAACTATTAAGAGTAACTTTTCTAAAACCTAGACCCATTGAAATTTCCATGCGACTGAATACGGTTTTTAAAACACGGGAGGAGGGGGCTTCTGCAAAAAAATACAAAGAAAAGCAGCTTGATGGTCCCTAGTGACGTGGCCAGCAAGAATGACCTCTGATCCACAGTGGAACATTAACAAGTAAAAAAGAAATTAATTTTTTTTAACATTTATTTCTTTTTGAGAGAGAGAGCATGTGGTTGGGGGAGGGACAGAGAGAGACAGAGACAGGATCCGAAGCAGGTGAACAGCCCAATGTGGGGCTCGAATTCATGAACCATAAGATCATGACCTGAGCCAAAGGTGAACACTTAACTGACTGAGCCACCCAGGCGCCCCCGGAATTAATTTTAATATAAACATAATGATGCTGGTCACTATGCCCATTACTGTACTCCTCTTCCATGGGTCCCCAAATTCTATGGTAACATTCTAACATGGTATCTTTATGCACTTCACATTTTTATGATTTATTCCATGTCTGATTCTGAAACTACTACAGGACAATGACAATGTAGGACATGTACACAGTGGGGGCACTCAGTACGTGTTGTTTAGAAATTTGGAGAAAAAATATTAAAATTAAAATTTGAAAACAAATAAAAAAGCAAAGATAATCTTGGCATAAAAAGCTGCTATGATTGAGCATTAAATTTATCTTCATGGTCTCTTCTAAGGCCCCTGGGATGAGAACCACAGTGTTCATATTAGCTATTATACAATCTCTCTCGGGGCACCTGGGTGGCTCAGTCAGTTGGCATCCAACTTCAGCTCAGGTCACAATCTCGCGGTTCATGAGTTCGAGCCCCGTGTCAGGCTCTGTGCTGACAGCTCTGAGCCTGAAGACAGCTTCAGATTCTGTGTCTCCCTCTCTCTGCTCCTCCCCTGCTCACACTCTGTCTCTGTCTCCCTCAAAAAGAAACATTAAAACAAAATTTTTTTAATAAAATCTTTCTCAATAAAGAAAGAGTTTAAAAACATATCTCACCTCTTGATATAAGACGTTAGAGAAAATCTGAAATGTTCTTGAAGAGGAAGACACCTGTGCCCTCTGCTTAACCACTTCCGAAGGAACACGAATCAGACAGGCAACCTAAAATATATAATTTAATTAATTACATCTTAAAAAAGAAGTAACTGCTATGAAAATTGAAATTATTTTCATAATCAAAAAAAGACAGTCAAAAAGGAATAATATAAAGGGTCACTGCAACATGTCCAAAGGCATTTTTTCAACCTAAAAGCCTCAGACCCTTAACGGACATGCATTGTTTTGTCAGCCCAGAAACTTATCTCCCTTGTGCTTATAGATATCCTCACACCTCCTGCCATCTTGTTCCAGACCCATCTGTCTAGAAGTCCCTCAATGGCAAGAAACACACTGACTTATTCTGAACCCCCAGCACCTAGAACAGCATCACCTAGTGTTCACATGCCAGTCATTTCAAACAGGCTGAAAGAATGAACCAAAAGGGCTTTTGCTCTACTGTAAATAATGCATACATCAACAGAAGCAAGACTGATCAGCAGCTGGCTACACCTAGTCATCTGTCCCACTCCCCACCCCAGCCTCAACTAGCTCCCAACCCCAGCACCCTAGACCCTATCACCACACCACCATGCAACAACGGAGGAGAAACTCCAGGTACTCTTGGGTCCTGCTCCAGCATTCAAGTTGACACAGGTCCTAAACAGACCGTAATCACATCTGACAGGTCAACAACCAATACTCCAGAATTTTTAAGATATTGTTTTTCTTTGTACTTAACATCAGATTACCTATATTAAAGACTTGAAAAAACAAAATGGGATTACAAGTAATGTTTCTCCTTTTCTGCCTACCCACATGTCTAAATTCTCTATCATGAACAGGCATTATTACTTGGTAAGTTTCATTAACATAATATCAAAGAGCACAAATATGTTATGGACCAAAGATTTTAAATGAGGGAGAAAATAAAATGAAAGGGCCAATTTAAAATGTGCTTTTTTGGGGCACCTAGATGGCTCAGTCGGTTAGGCGTCCGACTTCAGCTCAGGTCATGATCTCGTGGTCCGTGAGTTCAAGCCCTGCGTCGGGCTCTGTGCTGACGGCTCACAGCCTGGAGCCTGCTTCGGATTCTGTGTCTCCCTCTCTCTGCCCTCCCCTGCTCACGCTCTGTCTCTCTCAAAAATAAACAAACATTAAAAACAAATTTTTTTAATGTGCTTTCCAATGCAACCCTACTTATTATTAACGTTGACAAATACCAATTTTTACAGATAAGGACACACACAAAAAACAGATTAAACACCTGCTAATCACTAAGGCCTAAAATTGGGTATAAATCGTGTTACTCTTCATAAGTGTGCAAACTTTTAAATCCATACTTATAAGCCAGGACAGAAAACAAGGTCCGCTGAAACTTACATGAACCTAAAAGGATAGCCCCCAGCCTCTAAAACTCATTAAAGAAATGAAAATAAATAAATAAGGAAAGAGAAAAGAAAGAAAAAGGTTCACTAACTCCTTGTATTTTTCAATTCAAGAGGTCAAGAGTGAAATATGACCTCAATATGTCAAGAAAATAGGAATGGTCTACTTTTGCGACTTGGCATAAATATTTATGGAACTTCATGCTTCATAACCCTTCATGTTCTTACATTATGTTTTTATTTCTTAAAAATACAGAAGCAAAACAAAAACTTTGAAAAGGTCCTTAGATGAAAAACAATCTCACTAACGGAAGAGGTACAAAGCGCCCAGCAAGGCTTCTTGACTTCCGTGGCGTGGCAATTTTGGCATGAGAGAGAGGCCACAAAGGAACGCCTCTATTTCCTCCAGTAACTCCAATGCCTTCGATTTGGTTTTCTATTAACTCTGATCTTTCTTAGATTTGAATCTGAGCTACAACAGAGTATTTCACTGCACAAGAACAAAAACACGTTACAGTATTGTGATTCCATGAAAGGGGATCAAGATAATGTCATCCGTGGTCTCTTGGTAAATCCGTTCTCTAGAGAATTCCTTCCTCATAAATCTGGGGTTCGGTATGAATCCATGACACAGAAATGGTGGCATTTTCATTATATCCAAGAGCGTCTTATATGTTGAGGGTCTACCAAAAAATAAAACATAAAGATAATATACGTCCCCATCTTTAAGCCACATTAAAATACAATACTGGCTTCATCAGAATTAAACATGCCAAAAATAAGATAAAGTTTAGATTAAAAATTGATAATAATAATAAAGCTGCTGCCAAGATTTTTCTTTAACGTTAAAAAAAACAACCTACCCTGATATGTTTTTTTAAATTTATTTTTGCAATGGAAACTGAAATGTCTCCCTTTAGTATTTATTAAACCCCAAGACACAAACACTACAAGTTCTAAGACTAAGTGTGTGAAAGGGAAAAAACTACTGTCAACTTCAACCTCCCACTTGGTAAAATGAGTGAAGGCAGAGAAGAGGAACCTCTGGTCCTTTCGCTGCCACGGCCACGCCCCACACCTCCACACCTCGCTGCCAGCCTGTTACGGCCTCACCTCTGTCCTGTCACTCTTGAAATGCTCTTTGAGGCCACTGGGCACCACCGAAAGTACCTTCCATTAACATTACATCATTTCCCCAATTGTTTTAACACAGCTCACGATCATTTACCTGATTTTCATTTTTCTAAAGGAAACTTCATCAATGACCCATAAATGTGCCTCTGATATTAGAAGCCAATTGTCAGCACGTTAAATACATACCAGCCTGAGACAGAAGCTACTGAAGGTCAGAGCACTACCTGGCTTAGGAAGTTAGGATGAAACCCACATCTTTTGATGACTGTCTCCAGAATTATTTCCCATCAAAGATATATCAACACGCATCTAATGAACTTAAAGTTTCAAAGTTTAGTTCGGCTGATTCTTCATGTTTAGACAGGTAAATCTTTGTAAGTTCCACAGAAACCTAAATAAACTGAATACAGCCAAAGTTTAATCATATTCAGAGCAAGGGCTGCTTTGGACTTTGCAGAGTAAACTCCAGTGTGGCAAATTAGTAAGAGGGAGAAAAACCTTATGACACTCTGAAAAATTTTGCAACGTGCAAGTTACTTACTTGTATTTTATTTCACATTCTTCGTGTAATTCTCAAAATTCTTTCTGGAACACACGTTTCCAAATCTAACATATCTTTCTGAACCATCGTTTAAAATCAAAAACCTGTTAACTGTAAGTTCATCTGTGTGTCAATTCTGCCATCTTCTGGTTACAAATGGAATCACAGCTATTGATAAAACCATCCTAGCAGCAATTTCTAACTCCTAATTTATCATCCTTGGGATTTAAATTTTATCCACTGATATGGGGACACAAGTTCGTCATACCTTTCTTACTTATTAGCTCCTTCCACCTACATAAACAGCCAAAAGTCATTAGAAGAAAATATTTAATTTTTGTAGATATTAGTCTTCTCCTACCTGACAAAATTACTGTTCTTGATAATCCAGACTCCAACAGAAACTTAATAGTCCTCCCAACAAAAATTATATCATTGTGTAGGCTTTGTTTCTAAAGGCTGTTCACAGAATGTTACATAAGACTTAAGTTGTAAATGGCTTTTTCACTTTTGTTCCTTTCTGTAACAGAAAGGAGCCATGATTTCCCAGGAGGTGACAAAGCCCTGTGGACAGATGCATACATACCAACTCATAGAAAATCTGAAAGTGGAGGAGACTGTAATGTCACGGTAACTGTATCAGTTTCTTATGGCTGCTCTAACAAAGTACCACATACTCAGTGGCTTAAAATAACACAAATTAATCTCTCAGAATCCTGGAGGTCAGAATTCCAAACTAAGTCTTACTGAGTTAAAATCAAATTGTCAGCCAGTTGGTATTCCTTCTGGAGTTTCTAAAGGAGCATCTATTTCCTTGTTTTTATAGCCCACTGCATTCTGTGGTTTGTGGTCCCTTCTTCTCTCTTCAAGACGGAGCACAGCATCATAAAACTTCTGACACTCCTGCGTTCCACTTATGAGGACCTTGGGCTCACCTAGATAATCCCAGAAAATCTTGTCCTCGAGATCCTTAACTTTACCTTATCTGCAAAGCCCCTTTTGCCATGTTAGGTAACATAGTCACAGGTTTTAGGGACTAAGAAATCTTTAAAGGGCCATTATTCTGCCTACCATTGTAACCAACAGCATATTTTAGAACTCCAACCTTTTCTTATTTTAAGAAACCCACAGCAATCAGAGTTCATAATATTACCCAAGTAATACACCTCTCATCTCCACTTTTGCACCACTTCTGCCATTTTTAAAATATTACATCAAAAGTAAAAACTACACAGAGAAATGTTCGTCTTAACTATTCATTCTCCAATGGTGTTTTAACTGTCCACAGCAGCTGTGGAACCTTGAACAAGTCACTGAAACTCTGTCAATTTCAATGTCTTCTTCTGAAATGATTTTCTCCAAAAAATATGTAATTCTGAAAATGTGCTACATAAAGCACTTTGTGTGACATGCACTGGAAAATTGGACTTTACAGATCAGATGCTAGGCTGAGCACTTTTTAAGCGATGTACTACTTAATTCTTTTTAAAAAATTTTTTAAATGTTTTTATTTATTTTTGAGAGAGAGACAGAGCATGAGCAGGAGAGGGGCAGAGAGAGAGGGAGACACAGAATCCAAAGCAGGCTCCAGGCTCTGAGCTGTCAGCACAGAGCCCGACGCGGGGCTCAAACTCACGAACTGTGAGATCATGACCTGAGCTGAAGTTGGACGTTTAACCGACTAAGCCACCCAGGTGCCCCTACTTAATTCTTATAAGAACTGTGAGTTGGGTAGCATTAACCCTGTTTTTCAAGATGAGGAAAATAAGCAGCTCAGTGAAGTTAGGTATATGGCCTACGGACACACATAGCAAACAGGGTGCGTAACAAGCCAGAGTTCCAAGCCTGATCTATGTTACTGGACAGGTATGACCCTTATACTGTCTCCTTACAGAGGCAGTCAATATATTCTCCAGCTACTTAATAAATTCATCCAATTTATTATTCATACACTCCTCAAGGACAGGGATAAAAATGTGTTACTCTGTTTTTTTAGCATCAAT